CAATTTGCATATATTTGTGTAGACTGGGTCATCTATTCTCATGGTGCTTTCTCTTTTTCTTCTTTTTTAAAGAAATTGAATATTTGATCACCTTCGCAGTGAAAAAAAAATCCATCAGCAGTGAAAAGGCAGAGGAAGCCACAGTCAAAATCCCCCTTCATAGAAAAAGCTCACCTCTTTACAAGATTCCTTGTCTTCCAGTCTTTTATGAGATTTTGGATGGCTGTGGTTGCCATGATAAAAATAGCAGCTGCCATCTGTGTGCCAGGCTAGCTGCTGTGTTTACTTTTTTCATTTCTTACTCCACTTAGCAGCCCCGAGAGATAGATGTTACTACAGGAAACAGGCTTAGAGGGGTGGCGCAGTTTGCCCAAGGTCACCACTCTAGGCCATGGCAGAGGCAAGACTCACACCCAAGGCTGTCTGACTGTAAGGCCTTTGTTTTAAACCACTAAACCACATTTCCCATCATTGACATACTGCTTGGTTCCATCACTTAAACTTGGCATCACGAGCCAGGGACTTTTCTGCACAGGTATATAGTTTGTCTGGTTGTCATTTGAGTGGCAGTGACTATTGCATAATATTGAGGCACCAGAGTTTACATATCTCCCCCATTGGTTTGTTGCCATTGTCCCAGTACAGTACATAGTGCAAGTATAAATGTCTTTGTGTAAATAAAGGCTGTTTGCTGGGTGTTTGAGGTATTTGACAGCAGTCCTCAAAGTAACATTGTTGAGCCAAAAGGTTTAGAGTTTATAGATGCTCCAGAAAGCCTGTACCACCCTTTTCTGCAGCAGTGATGGTTTTTTGAGTGCCTACTGTGTATCTGGTGCTGGAGGTGAAGTGGTGATTCAGAAACTGCCCGCCCCTCAGAGATCTGATAGTCTGACTTGATATGGATTTTGTTGTTCAGTCGTTCAGTCATGTCCGACTCTTTGTGACCCCATGGACTGCAGCATACCAGGCTTCCCTGTCCATCATCTCGGAGCTTGCTCAAACTCCTGTCCACCGAATCAGTGATGCCATCCAACCATCTCATCCTCTGTCATCCCCTTCTCCTGCCTTCAATCTTTCCCAGCATCAGGGTCTTTTCCAGTGAGTCGGCTCTTCCCATCAGGTGGCCAAAGTATTGGAGTTTCAGCTTCAGCATCAGTCCTTCCAGTAGATATTCAGGATTGATTTCCTTTAGGATGGACTGGTTGGATCTCCTTGCAGTCCAAGGGACTCTCAAGAGTCTTCTCGAATACCACAGTTCAAAAACATCTATTCCTTGGTTGTCAGCCTTCTTTAGAGATGGATGATGCAACACAGAATGAATGGTACTCAAGTCGGAGTTTGAACTAGAGGCAGTAAAGAGCACTGAGACACGTGACCCCCTGGCAGTGTCTGAGTGCTCCTGCCCTCTCCCCTTACCATAGGGTGGGACAGGGGACAGGGCCTTTAGGGGAGGACAAGGGAGGGTTGCTGAAGCGTGGCTGAGGATACTTCCCTGTCTGGTCCTTCCTGTCCCCTCTTCCCCCCAGCCACCACCCACGGGGGTGTCACTACTGCCCAGATGCCACCAGGGGAAGCCAAGCAGAGGCTGGAGGGAAGGGACACCTGGCAAAACCTGCTCAGCAGGGTTCTAAGCACCTGTGGATCCTCCAAGTTCCCTCTTCCCTTTCATGTCCTCAGCAGCCAGGATGACAGCACAGTGCTCAGTTCCCACTCACTCAGTAGACAGGAAAACACACCCAATGTCGTGTGTTCCAAGTGCTGTGCTAGATGCTAGGAACTCAGAAAAGAATCCCACTCAGTCCTCAACTCTGAGGCCCTCATATAGATGGGTAGACAGACAAAGAGCTGGTACAGTGTGGTGTGATGGAGGTCTGGAGAGGTGGCAGTGAGGGCATTGAGTCCCTTGGCACTGTCTGAGAGCCCAGTACTCTGCTGTTGACATTGGCTGTGGTGCTGCCCATCTCTTGGCCTCAGTTTGTCCATCTATAAAGTGGACAGATGAGTCCAATGCTCGCAAAGGGCTTTCTGCCTCAGGTGTGCAGTGATTGTGCACCTTGTCCATGGAGCGAGCCTGAGCTTCTTACCCAGAAGACCCAGCAGGCTTCGGTCACCCTGTCTCCTCTCCTCCCCCTCCCCACTGTGGTGTTCTGCCTCTGGCCTTCTTCCTTGCTCTGTCTATATAGGCTCCTGTGACTTTGGTTTCTGTCCTGTGCTCATGACACCTGTGGCTGGATGCTCTGTCCTGTCCTTTTCACTGAGATTGCAGTTCATATCATAAGGAAAATAATCAGCATTTGTTAAATCCCAGATATGGCACTCCAGTCATGGCTTAAATGATCTTATCTACCCTGTGAAGTAGGCCACAGCACCCTCTTTTGTAGATGAGTGAAATTGAGTTGGAGATACTGTGGCTGGCCCACAACCCTGAGGTCGCTAAGCAACCAGAGCCAGGATTTGAGAACCCATGTCTGCCCAGCTCCGGTGCCCACACCACCACCCCTGTCCCGCTGTGTTTCCCAAAGTGCATGCAGCCCAAGAGACACTTTCACTGGGGTATTTCATGGACGCCTCAACTCCAATATGTCTAAAATTGGCCTCATTTCTCCACCTTCTCTCCCAAATCTGCCTTTTCCTCTCTTCTCCATCACAGCAAGTGGCACCATCAACCCAGTGATGCCCAGCTAGAAGCCAGGGCCACTGTTGTATCTTCAAAGCCATCCATCCTCCTCCATCTTTGGGCTCTAGAAGCACTCTCCTTCTTGGTTGCCCCACCTATTCTAGCCCCATCCCTTACACCGGGGCCAGGGTGGTCTTTTTCAAGCACATGCATGATCGATCTCACTTTCCTGCTGCAGACATTCTCTTCTGCTTTCTGTGGCTCTGCAGCAGAGCTTGAAGCTGGCCACCCCTGGGCTGAAAACCGTCCAAGAAGACATGTTTTGTTTGGTCCGTTGAGCATTCTTAAAACATTTTGAATTATTTGCCAACATTTAAAAATCAGGAAATTCCGTATGAAAGTTCCCCACTTCTGGCTTTTCTTGCAAAAGTGAAAACACTGTCAGCTCTGGGCCCAGATCTCTGTAGGGCAGGGATTGGGTCTTGCTGAGTAGGGACTGCCCTCTTCAGGAGGGGCCTGGCCTTTCCAGTTGGCCGGTCTCCAGTATCCCTGATGGCTCATTGTCCCCAGTCACTCCCGTGCTCCCAGTTAATTGCCTGCCTGAGGCTTCAGGCATTTAGTGTCATGACCCTGCAGCACAAAATGAAGCCCAAAGACCTCAGCACGGCTCCTAAGGTCCTATGTGGCCCAGCTGGGAGCAGCCTAACCCTATGAACCTCTGAGGCCTATTCCTGCTCACTGCCCCATCACACTGGCCTCTGTAGTCTCAGTGCTTCCCCATAGTTCTGTGAATTGGCTCACTCCCAGAAATATCTGCTTTCCTAGGCCCCTCTTTTAGTCCCATTTGTCCTATAGGACTCCACTCTGTGCCCCCTCTGCCAAGCTGAGTTCCATCCCCCCATTATATGTGGCACAGACCTGGGTCATCACACCGGGTTCTCACTGTTGCCTAGTTTGTCTGCCGCCTCCACCAGATCGTGAGTCTGAGACGGCAGGGAGCCCACCTCCTTTATGTTCCCCATTGCTTGGCTCAGGGCTTGGAATATAATAGGTGTCTAATAACTGGTGAATAAGTGGATGGATCCATGAAAGACTGACTTGGGAAAATACTCCTCCTCCTGTTGCTGCCTACTTGCTTGAGATGAGCATTCCACGTTTCTTTCATTGTGGAGCACCCCCATAATAGGATGCCTGCCCCCACAGCATTCTATGAGCCATTCCCCCACTCTGCAAGGTCTAGCATATACCCAAGCCTACTGGGATGGGAGTTCTGAGTGATGACAGAGGACAAATACATAATTTTTGCTGCTCCAGTGGGAGAGAGTTGTCTAAAGATCAGGAAATGGCATGATAACTGGATATGGCACATTCTTTAGTTATCTGAATGATAATAATAACAAGGCAATAATGACAGTACCTGACACATACTGAACACTTTCATTGTACCAGATTCCGTACTGAGAGCTCTCAACATATTCTTTCCTTTACTCCTCACAACTACTCTTGGAAGTAGCCCCATTTTACAGACAAGTAAAATGAGGAACACGGAGTTTAAAGAACATTTCCTGGGTCAAGCAGGCAGTAAGTGGTAGCATCCAGGTTTGAAGCCAAATCTGTGTGACATCAAAGTTAGCATGCTCAATCAACCACCATGCCATACTTCCTCAATGATGCTTCTCTTTAGAAACATGAAAGACTGATTAGAATAAAGGTGAAAGTGAAGGCTGAGGAATTATGCATACAGTAAAATTCCAATCAGTAATCAGAAGAAGAAAGAAAAGAAACTCCCAAGGCAAAAAGAACCAAGGAGACACACCAGATTCTAGCAGTGGTCACATTCAGCTAGTAGAGTGTTGGGTGTATGTTTCTTTTGTTCCATCTCATTTCTACCTTTTTAACATTTTCAAAATTTCCTTTAGTGAGCATGTGCAGTTGTCCCTCAGTATCCGAGGGGAATTGGTTCCAGGACCCCTGCAGATACGAAAATGCAAGGATGCTCAAGCACCTCACATAAAATGGTGTAATACACTTGGCTGTCTGCATCTGTGGATGTGGAACCCAAAAGATCATGGACCAATCCAGTTGGTGGACCCTGGGGATGTGGAATCTGTAGATACAAAGGGCCAACTGTGTTACTATTAGAAGTTAAAAAAAAATCCTCTCTGGAATGGCCCTAGCATTACTTGGCAGAACAGAGGTTGGGAAGAGGTGATAAGAGTCACCCAGCTAATCAGTGGGGCTGTCTATTGAGCAGCTGTTGCAGGGTAGCGGAAGTGGGTAGAACAGCAGATGGTGGCTATGGCCTCAGCACCTGCACCCTCGGGGGGTAAGGGAGGAGAAGGGTCACCACCCCTGCTGTCTCACCATGTCCCTTTCTCTCCAGGTGCTTACACCCCGGAGCCCCTCAGCAGTTTCCGGTGGGCCCTTCTCTCAACTGGCCTCATGTTCTTCTACCACTTCAGCATCTTGCAGATCCTGGGCCTGGTAAGCTTGGTTCTATCCCATTCTATCCCTTCTGTTTGGAGTTCTTCATAAATCTTGATAATCCTGGTTGGCGCTGGTATATCGTTTTGTTTTGAAAATATGAGATGCCAAAGGCCACACTGTCAGATTGTTGTGTCTGGGTTGCTGATTTATGATCCACAGCTTTGGCCTCTCCAAAGAGCTTTCTGAATCCTTCAGTAATGACTGTTTCTATCATCCCTGGAGAGGCAAGGAGGCCCTTCACTCATGGCCACTTGGGTCGGAAATAGTGAGCTGCTCTGGACAGTGGTTGGCTGTGGCCTGTGTGGGAGGCAGGACCCTAACCCTGGCCCTGGGGGAGGCTTCTGACCTTGGGTCCATTCTAGGCCTACCACCAGGCCCAAAGCTGCGTGGCCAGTGGAAGTGTGGTGTCGGGTGACCCCCGTGGCCTTCTGGGATGTTCAGACCTACCTGGAATGTGGCTGATAGCTGGACTCAGTAGTTGAGTTATCCAGAGCCCAGGATTGCTCGGTGCCCGGGTGGTGTATCAGTTGGTGGCAAAGTGAGTAGCAGTAGGCTGGGGCTTGGTTAGGGAGACCAAGTTCAAGTCCTGGCTTTGCCACTGCTCTGGGTGAGTCACATTATCCTTGAGGGCAGTGTTGTTCTCCACCCATCTGTGACATGGCACAAACCCTCCACCTCTCTTGAGAGGTGGTGAGGACTTGTTTTTAAGGAGAATGGGCTTGAAGGACTTTGGAAGGCAGCTGTCGTGGCCGTCCTTGGGGCGGGAGTGGCATATCGGGTTTTGTGTGCGAGCAGCGTTAAATGTACCGTTAGCCGCGTGAAGTCTTGCGGGACCTGGCTGGACTAGGGCACGTAACTGATGTCACCAGTGCCTTTGTCAAAGCAGTCATTTTCTCTTCCCCACCCTGGTGTGTTGCTCTGTTCCGGTTGGCCTGGGGGTAGTTTGAGCTCCTTGCCAATAGCATAGATGCTTCCTGTGCTCTCAGAAGGAAGCAGTATGACTGTCACGCCCTTACCTTCACACCTGTCTCCACTGTGACTCCTTGATTCCACAAGAGTTGGTGTCTCCATGTCACCATACATACCATGCTCAGTCTCACCTCCAGACCTCGCTCAGGCTATGCCTCCTACATGGAAGGCTCTGTTCACTCCATTCCTCATCATTACTCCCATCCATTCTTCATGAGTCCATTCAGAATGGTGTGACTTCCCTCATCAGATCTTATCTGAGGACTCTGCCGCTCCCGTTCTGTACACACCTCAGATCTTATGGTGGGCAAGAGCCAGTGAGCACCGTCTGGTTTGATGTCAGCTGTGGTAGACCGATCGTCCAAATTTGATTGGTTCCTAGTTACGCAGAGGCAGGGACCATGCAGCTGATGGCTCTCTTATCCCATAACACCTCTCTGGGTCTAGGCACATAGTAAATACTTAGGAACGTCAACTGACTCTGGGCCCAACCCAAAGGCAAGACCAGCTTTTCCACTGGATGGCCTCCTCCATCACCTCCAAAGGGCTCTAGCCATGACCCAAACTTAGGGGAGAAAGATCCCGCTATGAACAGGTGGGGATTTATCAATCCCTCCTTGTCTAGTCCCCCTTAGGTAGACACGGCTGAACTGGCAGAAGCCAGAGAAGGCCTCAGGATGGTGAACGCTCACTCTACCTCCCTTGTCCCTGCAGGTCACCGAAGTGAATTTGAACAACATGCTGTGTCCGGCCATCTCAGACCCATTCTACGGCCCCTGGTACCGCATCTGGGCCTCGGGACACCAGACTCTCATGACCATGACCCACGGGAAGCTGGTCATCCTGTTCTCATACATGGCTGGGCCCTTGTGTAAATATCTGCTGGATTTGCTCCGGCTTCCAGCCAAGAAAATAGACTGAAGGTGCTTGTGTTTTTTTTTTGTTTGTTTGTTTGTTTGTTTTATTTTGTTTGGGGTTTTGTTTTGTTTTTTTCTCCCCTTGAGGAAACAAGTCCTGACTTGACTTGGAGGACATCCAGTTCTTGGTGAAATCATGGGAGAGGGCAGTAACTCGTTCAGTGTATTTCTTTTTCCCTCTTCTCTGCCCCTTTCTTCCAACATGTTTCCTTTCCCACCTCTTCCCCCAGGATGGCTCCTGGAGCCTGGGGTGTAGTGCTGAGGGCTCTCTCTCCCCGCTCCTTGTGGCCTTACGTGGTGAGACAGTAGTCAGTGGCTTCCACTCTGCTTGTTGGTGCTTTAACAACAGCTGGTTGAGGAGAAAGGGAACAACAAGCAGTAGTTCTTTTGGCATCAAAGTGATGAGATGTGGTTGTGTTTGATTTCTCCACTGCCAGGGATCTCCAGGCTTATGCTGGGGTCCCCTTTTGTCTCCAGCACAGCCCCCGCCATAGGGGACCGAGGCCTTGTTTCTATACCAGCGGCAAGCCAAGAGCCAAGGGATTTCCCAGCTCATGGTCAAAATAGAACTGGCCAGATTCTTCCCACTGGTGTCCCATGACTCAGAGCAAGCAGCCAACCAGTCACTCCCTCCAGATACTGCCAGAGGTGGGGCTTAGGGGTGCTACAATCCGAGGGGCTAGATTCTACTGAGGCCCATGAGTGCTGTTGGAACAGCAAATCCAAAGGAAACTAGGTCAAAATATCCACAGCTAATACTAGTTTGGGACCTTGTGGAGATTCTACTTGAGAGCTGAGAACTGACCCATATCCTGGTCAGAAGTGAGCATAGAAATTAATCAACAGAAGTGGTAACTTGAGAAAACTGTGATTTGAATCATAGGCTTGCTTTTAGTTTAATGTTGATAACAGATGACATTTTAATTTTGAGCACCTCTTAAATGCTCTCTCTCTCTCTTTTTAAAGGCAGCTTCAGGGAAAGATGGGCTAGAGTTGGGCTTTTTTGGCTTTTGGGGTTTTGTTTCTTTGTTTATTTGTTTTGGGATGTTTGACTTTGGAGAATCCTTACATTAGGGCCTGTCTCTGGAGGACACCTGTCTATCCATTTCGTGGTTTTACAGGATATATGAGCATCCTAGGTTTGCAAGGATACAGGTCCTGCAGCATTGTTTCCCTAGGACTAGGTGTCATCACTGCAGCCAGCATCAGAACTGAATTGTTTGAGGGTGGGGCGGGGGGAACGTCACATGTTCCCAACCCCCACAGCACATGTCTAGATTGAAAGGCAGGTACCAAAAAAATCAGGTCCCTTTGGTTGGAGATTCAAGTGCTCAGAAAGGGAGACCTTTGGCTGCAGGATAGCCTCAGTCATACGTGGACCTCAGGAAAGGGAGGTGGTAGCATTTGCTGACTCTTTGTCGGCGCTTACTAAGAAGAGATTACTTAATAACAGAAAAGCTAGTTCTGTGACCTTCTCTGATTGCCCCCTCCCCCACCCTCTCTCCCAGTCTAGGCAACCCACTTGCCCTTGGCCCGTTCAGTATTCCAGGTGTTACTGTTTCAGACCTAGACTGAGTTTCAGTGACTCAGTAGTCATTATTTTAGCAAGTTGCCTTACTGGAGGCAGCAGAATGGGAGAGTCTCGTCTAGCAGGGCGAGGCCCAGGGAAGCATCCATGGAGGGGCCAATCTCTTTGCAGAGGGATGCTGGCATTGATGCCATCAATCCCCAGGGTGTGGTGTTGCAGGAGGGTGGCATGCTCTGGGTTGCCACCAGAAGAGGTACCTCTTGAATGGCTGGTTTCACCCCACCTACTGGCTATGCATGGGCGTGGCCAAGGAGGCCAGGCCTCAGTGCTCCTTTGGCCTGTTTACAAAATAAAAGGTTAGAGTGAGGTCATAGGAGGAGCCCCTGGGGGTCTGTCCTATGCCATGCTAGAATCTCTGCCTCAGCTGGGAGCCAGCAGCCTGGGTGGCACAGACGCTGTGCCACCAAGGGCACAGTGGCAGAGTGCTCTCTTCCCCCCTGTCTCAGGCCTGGTGCGGGGTGCCAGTCAGCTCGCACTTTCTTCATATTGGCCCATCTCCAAAAGCTCGTCTTTGCCCTAGCTATGGCTCAGTGCCCCTGGCTGGCTGGCACTTCGCTGCTGCTTGGCAGGAAAGAAGAAAGTGTAAGCCATGTGCCTGGCCTGGCCAGGCCAGCAGCAGGTGCACCTGTCTGGGGGAGGGGGGAGGCACTGCTTCTGGGGGCCAGGTGGGCTCAGAAACATGGAGGGGGAGGGGACAGAAAGCAAGCCCTGTCCACTGGGTCCCCAGGGAGTCATGGCCTGTGAGGTATTGGGGAGCAGCAGGCATCTGAACTGGTCTGTATCTGACTCTTCCCTTGGGCCAGGCCCACGTGGAGAGGTGACCTGGCCTGACCCTCGGTGCCCTGCCTTGGAGGGTGGCCCCCACCACCATGGGGCCAGGCTTTCCTGCACCTCCCAGGGGCTCTCCTGTCAGTGCCAAGGAGCTTCCCCAGCCAGCCTGTCCAAGTTTCCATATGCCATTTGCCAGCATGTGGGAGCTCCATGTGTGTCTGGGAGGGTGTTTGTAGAAGTGGACAATTTCTTTTACAACAGCCCTAGCAAGGGAAAAGGAGTATTCCCTCCAGCCCCTAGGTAGCCTCAGCTGAGGATCTGTGCCAATAACACTCTGTTCAGCTGGCCAACTTATGGCATTAGCTCCAAATAACAGAGAGGTGGTCCCACCTGCTTGTAGCCCCCACCCCACCCCACCCTCCACACCTTCTGTTTGGTTCTGCACACCAAAGATGATCTGGTCCATCTTCTTTCTGGAGGCCCAGTGATGTGTTCCTCTGTCAGCTTGTGAGGAGGCTATAGACTCAGTTTCCCCCATTCAACCTTCTCTCTCTCTGGGGACTGACTTCTCAGCATTCACAGAAGCTGCGGGCAGGGTGGCCGTGAGGTGGGGGTGGGGAGTTTGGGGCCCTTTCCCATCTGGTACCTCAAGCCCAGCTCTCAGACCATCCCTTTGACTGCAGCCTCCCTCAGGGTTTTGCAGTTTGTGGTCGTTGATATTTCAGTGCACTGTTTTGTGGGGCAGACACAGCTGCACACAAAGAGCAGGTGGTCAGCATGGCACTGGTGTTTGGGGGGCTAGTGGAAGACCATTCGTCCCCCCCAACACACACACCAAAAAAGACTTCCTTGGATTTGTAGATGTTGGTCATCTGAAGGGGAGATGGGGAGGCGGGCGAGGGGAGAAGAAGGGCCGGTATGGCCACTGTAAGACAAGATGCCGGTGCTGGTTTTGGTAAATTGGGAGCAGGCCTCAGGGAGGGTATCGGGAGCAAAGCCCCGGACTATGGGGAGGGGCGTCCTCACTGCACAGGCTGCCCTGCCCTCTGAGGGTGGGGAGGGTCCGTAAGTGGGAATGAGCCTTCCTCTTCTGTACATACAGTGAGTCCCTTGTGCTCAGGAAAACCAAGTTGCTTATTGTTGCTCTCGTGACATTTTCTACACTAGTTAGCTACTCATGGCACGAAACACACAAAACAAAAAGTCATTTCAAGCCAAACTATTGTTTTGGAAACCTGCTTTCTTTTGGTGTCAGTTTTGTATTACATTTGGAAGAATTCTTCATTTCTATTGGTGTTATTGTGGTAGAGAGAATAAGATAGTTCAACTTGTAATTCTTTCTGCCAAGAAATTGGCGCTGCCTCTGTTGCCGCCCCCACCCCCACCACAGTCCTTCCTCATTCTCAAGGGGAGATTGCTATGTCCTGGGCAGACCCCCTCCCTGGCGCTCGCCCCCACACTGACTCCCTTGGAGAACCAGTTTTTGTGAGTCCCCTAACCAGCTGCAAGATGAGTAGATGAGTACTTTTCGCCAAGCTGCTTCTTGGGTGCTCTGTGCCCCCGCCAGTTTGCTCACCTCTTGGGACATTTTGTAATGTTTTCTCTGTTTTGTAAAACCCTTTTGATTGTACCAAAATGGTTTCTGCAGTCACCTTTGGAAATAAATGGTCATTAATTTGTGTACTTCGCACTCTGAATGTTAGATTGAGGTGTTTCTGTTGTTGAAGATCCCTGAATGAAAAGGAACCCTCATCACGGCACTTACTGTTAAATGTTTCCTTCATTTACTGTTATTAAAAGATTTGTGAGAACCTACGAGTCTTGGCCTTGCTTCCCAGAAGCCTCTCAGAAGGAAGGGCTCCTGCTTTGAAAAGCAGACAGAAGGGGCCACTGACCATCCAGGCTGTGGAGGACCACCACGGGGCAGCGGGCTTGCTCAGCACAGCTCTGCCCCCGGAGTCACATGGCTCAAGTCGTGTGGCCTTGAAGCCCTCCCCGCCCCCTCCACTGCCTGCTGCCACCAGGGACCCAGCAGGCCTTATGCTCTTCACAGGGCTTGTTGGCTGGGGACATCTGCTGGCCTTGAGGGACCCTGGTCTCAAGGGACCCCACGTGGGCTAGAGGACTGAACTACAGGAGGCAGCTCTAAAACCAGATGCAATCAGGCTCCCTCATCCCAAGTTTCTTGGGGGCCAGCTCTGTCCAGCACAGGGCCAAGGCTGACACAGGTCAGACCGTGCCACGTGGAGATAATCCTGCCCCTGGGAAACAGTTGGACCTGGCTTTCTAGGGCTCCCGACTGAGAACCCCGTGGTGACTATGATTAGCCATGCCCACCTTCACACCAGAGAGACGCTGTACTCAGACTTTTGCTGGTGTGGCTGCTTCTACAGGGGACACAGCTAGCCACAGGGGCCTCCAGTGCAAGTGGGCTTCCTTCATTGGCCAGGAGTCAGAAGCCTTGGCCTTCAGAGTGGATGGGCCCTGCCATCCTGGACCAAACCACAAGCTTGGGAAAGTCACTCATTCATTTGCGACCCCAGGTTCTCTGTCAGTAAAACTATAGCTGCACCCATGTGACACGGTCCCTGTGGTATAGGCAGACACTGAGAAAACTGGGACTCAGAACTAACCAGTGGAGGAACTGGCCTAGGAGCTGGTTTTGTGAGGCTCCAGAGCTTAGGTGCTCGGCACCCTGACCCCTGGGCTCTGCTGTCCATCTGGGGTGCTAGGATGACTGGGCAGACCCTCAGCAGGGGGCCCTGGGTCTGAGAGGAACGGGAGGACAACTGGCAGTGCTGCAGAAGATGGACCACGCGAGTGCTGAGGCAGGGGAGTCAGGCCCATCTTTTCTTCTGCTGCCAGCAGACCTACCTGACCCTGGCGAGCCGCAGAGCAGAGCTGAAAGGCCTACAAGTAAACAAGATGGTGCTGCACAGGGCCAGGCCACGGCTGGCCCAGGGGCAGAGGCTGCCAGAGGGAGGTGAGAGAAGGTGGTCCTGTGGCCCTTCTATGTATCTTCCATTTCAGAAAGATGACATAGGCCATGGCAACCTCTCCCCAGGGCTCATGCATCTGCCGAAGGTCTCTGCTCCAGTCTGTACACTCTACTGCAGGCAACAGTTTCCAGTGGAGATCTGACTGCATCACTTCCCTGGGGCCTTGTAAACACCTAGGCTTCATCTCCTCACCTCCATGTTCCATGAAGACCCATCCATAGCAGACCTGTTGTTCCAGCCATATTGAACTCCCCTTGGTCACTCCCTGTGGTTTCCCGCTTCTTTGCCTTGTTCTTTGCGCTGTTTTCTCAGCTACCCCCATCTCCCTGCTTGTCCAGAGGTCTCACTCAGCTCCAGTGTAGGCTCCTGCATGCAGTCTTCCGTGAGCTCCAGTATACATGAGGTACCCTTCCACTCAGCTCTTACAGCCCCTGGTGCTCACTCCAGGATACCCTTTGCCTACCCATTTTGGAATTCATCAGGGTGCTCTGTCCCTCTGTGGACGTTGAGCTCCTTGAGGGCAAGGACCTGGTCCTTGGAACGTGTTCTGTGAACCACACATGCTCTTATCCCTGAGTTTTACAAAATAGTGGCAGGCACCATGGTTACCTGAGCGAGAAACCTGGGCCACATAAGCTATGGCCCATCTCTTGAGTTCTCCTGCATGGGGCCATGTGCCTTTGGCCTGGGTACCTCAAGCTCCAGCTGGAGGGCCCCCATCTTGCTCCTCTTTAGGGGTTACAGGTAGCCAGGATTCAGGCTGAGGTAGTGATGTGAGGATAGAGAACAGAGACAGCATCTGTTTCGCCTGACCCTTCTCTAGATCTCTGGTTGGGGGGTGGGCGAGGCAGCAACTGCTTTTCCACATACCTCGCAGCTGTTCATCCCCTCCAGGGTCCCCCTTCCACTCCCTGGGGCACATAGGCAGAGTTGGTGTTTATGCGGTAAAAGCCCCACGAGCCCATGGAATGTGTCACCTCTGAGGCATAGGGAGCAGCTTGAACGGTTACAATCTGATCCCCCAGTGAGATTTCCCTTTGTCCTGGTTTGCCAAGGCCAGCGGAGGGACAGAGACCCACAGAAGTCAGGCTGACAAATGACCCATCCCCAGCTGTACCTCTGCTCTAGCCGCCAGTTCTCCCTGCTCTCTGCCACCTTTCCCTCCCCCTTCCCTCGACATCCAGGGGCCTGCAAGAGGTGATGCCCGCTTTACTGTCCCTTCAGCTGCTCCTCCCCTAGTTACCAGGAGTCCCCAGTCTCCTTATGTTTTTAGGAAGACCCAGGACTCTCCAGTATTCCGCCCCATAGAGGCCTTCCTATGTGGTCCAGGACACCCTCAGATTTCCAGAGTGTTGGAGCTGACAGGATGCTGCTGATACAGGGGCTTGTAAATTTTCCTTCATATTAGAATCACCTAGGGAGCTTTACAAAGAATCTCAATGCCCAGGCCTCAGCCCAGCTCATAATTCAAAGCAAACTTTTTGTTTGGTTTTGTTCTGACTTTAAGCTTCCGGGTTGTGAGTCAGCTCGTTGACCCATCTATACCAGTGCCATTTTTTAATGAAAATTTTAAGACATGCCAAAAGGTTATGAAGAAGAATGTCTAAATCCAGCTTTGAAAAAAGAATATTACCAAGAGAGTTGAAGCCCCTTTACCCCAGAGGTTCGGAGATTGTTCCTTAGAGTTTTAGGAACTCTGGGGAGCTGTCTGAGGGGCCATCTCAGGATGATGGCTGGGTGGGGGCAGAGTGGGTTAGGTTCCGGCCTTTCCCCTTGTTTCACCCAAAACAGCTCCACGTTTATTCTGCTTTGTACACTGAGGTTCTGTAAGTAGTTTCATTGGGAAAAGGGTTTAAAAGTCACTTCATTACACCCTCACTAGTCTGTCTTCTACCCTCTCTAAGGTAGTGGTCATTCTGTAGTCGTTGGAAGAGTCTTGTGGTGGAGCTCAGCAGATGAGGGCTGTGGTCCTGGCTCTCCATCCGCTCGTAGGTCCCAGGTCCCCTTGGCAAAGTCAGACCTCTCCGAACTCCAGGTGAGACATCAAGTGAGATAAATGAGTGTGAGAGGGCTTTATAAACTGCAATGTCCTGTCCAGTGTAAGGGGGTTCTGTTTCCAGGCAGTGTGGTTACTAGGCTTGTACACAGAGTGAAGGAGTTGCTTGGGCTTTTGACTATACTCACCCACTGTGCTTTCTTGTGCCCTGTGTGGTTGGGGTCTGTGGGGTGTGTAAGAGACTGATAACCTCAGTTTTAAGGCTTTTTTTCCCTGTATTTCATTGATGCTTTAGACACTTTCTAAAAATATAATTTTAATATCTCCAGGTTTGGGATGCAGTCAGTGGCATGACAGTTTAATTGGCATCTTTTTTAATAGTACATAAAATAGCAGCCATCTTTGAACCTGAAGTATCTTATTAGAGTCACTGAAATGCCATCATTGTTAACTTTTGATTCTTCTTCCTCTTCTCCATGAGAGTCACTCTCCTGGTAGAGAAAAGCCATTTGGAAAAACTTCTAAACTTTAGCATATAGTCTCTTCCTGACACTCCATTCTCTCTCTCTTCCCTGCCAGCATCCAGCCAGGCCAGGCAAACTTTCAGCTTCCTGATCTGAGGGAGCCCCCTTTGTTGAGCTGTCTCTTGGGGCAGAGTTTCATGGGGCGACAGAAAGGAGATGGAGTGCACCTACATAGGGAGGCCCACTGTGCCAGCTGACAGGGAGGGAGCCAGACAAGCCAGGCCAGCCACCCCCAACAGCTCTGGTTTCTTTATTTCCCAACCAGAGCCTGGCCAGACGGCTCAGCCTGCTTCCCTGGGGATCTCTGGGGCTGCTCATTGCCAGAGATGAGCAGGGTGTGGGGGGGTGTGTGCAGGGGAAAGGAGTGAAGCCTGTCCTGAACTCCCTGGGTTGATGTAAGCAGTTGTCTGGCCCATAAAGAGGAAGACAATGACTTCCTCACCTCCTCCAGCAAGGTGGAAGAAGGGTTAGGTGGTGGGCCTTTCAAGGAAAAGCAGCACCTTGGCAGCACCTAGGGTAGCCTAAGCCATGGACATTCACTGCAATTGGAAATTGCCTCCAACCTTCCCTCAGTCCTGGCAGCCACTCTAATTAAACTTGGCCCTTGTAGTCTTGAGGCCAGGCTCTTCCAGAAAGGGAAGGAGTGTCTGCAGTGAGATCCAGGGATAATTGGACACAGGAAGCAGTTTTTGGACATTTCCCCCACCCCGCTGAGAGAGCTTAGCAAGACATGATCAGCCTGGATTACAGCTGCCCTCATGTAACTGGGTTAAAGTGGTGGCCTACTTAGGCCCCTCCTGCAGTGGCCTCCTTCAAAGCTGATGAGGCCGATTAGGGGGTTATTTCTGAGCCCTAGTTGTGTACCCAGAAGCCTGGGGGTAGTCCTCCTTTGACAAGAAAGACAATAACTAAGGCTGGACAGCCAAAGGCAGAATCTGCCCTGCCCATAGGAGAGCAGTGCTGTCAGACC